TCTTGAAGATGTCTTCTGTAATTGAGTTCAAGGAACAACTTGAAAGATCTCTGGGTAAACATAAACCGTTAGTAGAAATGGAATGACAATAAATTGGAACTCTAGAGGAAATAAAGTGCGAAGGGAATATCAGAATGAAAAGTGTACAAGTTCAAATAAAAAAAAACCTTAGAACGAAACCGATAGTGAACTGACCGACTCATCCTTCTGGCTGGTGGCCATAAGTTTCTACACTTCCTTTCTTTGCAAAGTACAGATTTACATTTCGCAAATTACAGATTTCCTTTTTGAAAACAGATTTTGAGTTGATTTCACAAATGACAGATTTCCATTTCGTTAGCCGGTTTCGTTTCGCATACTAAAGTAGGCAAAGGCTGCATGCCGAACGAGAGCTCTGGATTGTTAAAGAAATTGTCCACAAACTATTAGCTAAGAAACGTATGTAAACACAAAGAAGACGATAACTGGCCTTAACTGCAGGACTAAGGATGGCAGAGTTTCTTTATCACTTACAGTTCTATTGTGTTGCTTGGGATTCCGGTCGATATGTATCCGTGAACTCGGCATTTTACTATAAGCCGAGTCTTACCGAAATTGGTGCATTGACAGATGTTTTCGCTGCAAACGTCACTCTCGGATGTTGCTACAAACCACAAGACCAAGATGACTTGTATCAGACCATTGAACATCATTACCACGCCTAGAGCAGTTTGCCAGGAGCGAAAGTTAGAATATCTTGATTTCAAAATAACTAATAATAAAGACTTGACCAAAACCGTTATCTGTGGTTCAAAAACAACAGTCAAAGGTTCCTTTGCAATGCATATCTCTCCAAAAGGGTCCAATAAACTTACCTAAATTACGACCTCTTTTAGTTTTCTTGTAATACTAGCTTAAAGAGGAACTCCTATAACTTCCTTCAGCCTATACTCCTCTTGTAATTCCTGAATTTGCTATCAATGATTAAAGAGGATCGAAAGCTACTTTAACGATCAATTGAGTTGTCAAATGTCAATGTCAAAGAATTTGACTTACGGCAAGTGTTGGCTTGAAGATACGATTAGATGTAAAATCTAGCTCCGACTGTTTCCACTGTTTTGGTCTTTTGACAGCCGGCCTTTTGTGACACAGCCTTAACTGCTGGCAACAGCGCATGAACCACCGGAAACGAGAAATTTTGCGCGAGCACTGATGCATATTATGGTAAAATTCCAATGAAATGCTGTTGCCCTAAGCAAGACTCCAACCAGCGTAAGTAAATGCAAACAAACTTTTTAACGGAAAATTTCAAAACTACTAAGGTCAGACCGCATTTTAATTCATCCACGATTGGCTACAAAACAAGTAAGAAAGATACACGAGGTGTCTTAATTCATGAAGTTCTTAGAAACACAAGCTCTATTTTTAACAGTGACTGATCAGTTTGTCACAACTTCCTCATGTTTACGCCTTCGTCACTGGCCTCTCCTTTTGTTTTTTGTTATGAAATTTCCCTTGAGCACGCGTATTGCTTGCAAAGCAAAACACACTAAAGAAATGCAATTACGATGTGGAAGACTCCAACCAGAGTCAGTAACTACAACCGAACGTTTTAATGGAAAATTTTAAAACTTCTAGGGTCAGACTGCATTTTAATTCATCAACGATTGGATACAGAACAAGTAAGAAAGATACATGAGGTGTCTTGATTCAAGACCAAAGAAAAAGGTTCCTGCAGTTCTTAGAAACATAAGCTCTATTTTTAACAGTGACTTGGTGATAGCACTGATATTCGTCGAAATGTTTTTTGGTCCGACATGATGCCGATCGGAAATAGAGTAAAACATCTGGAACTTACTTTTGTTATCTAGCCCCCTGATTATCTAAACTAAACCAACAAACATGCACAAAAACACTTTTTC